ATAGAAAATGCAGCCCAACTACGCTTTGGCCCGGTTTACGGCAACAATTTGGCCCTGAGCAAGAGAAAACCCGTTCCGCATTCACTCTTTCTGAGGTAGTAGCACTCTGAAATAGCCCAAGAGCCCGAGTGGTAGCATGTACAAGCTGTAGTCAGCCGCTGGCAGGGTTATTTCTGGCTTCGCTTCTTGCGAATTATCTACAAGTTGAGGATGGTTTTGACTCCTGGCACGTGCCAGTATTACTTTATTACCGAAAGTAGTAAGCCGTAGGAGATTTGTTGGTTCACTGGTGGCCGAACAGTCAAATCGCAGCAAGAAAAGCGTTTTTTTGCCACTACACTAGCTAACAAGATGTTTATGTCCACCTCTTCAGAGTTTTCAATGCTTGGCTCGTTAGCTATTACTTTTGGATCCTGATTCCTCTTCTTAGTTTACAGTGCGGATCAGCACGCTGCTGCATTCTCGAAATCTCATTTCCTCAGATTAGTTCAGGCCTGTTTCAGTTTTTCCGAGAAATGGCATCGTGCTGGATAAGCGCAGCACAGAATGAGCTTGGCATCTTCCAGCGTGATTCCGAGTTTGTCTCGCCGCTCAGTTTGCAGTACTGTTCACCACCAAAACGGCCCTACATTCTTCCGCACAGCATTTGGATTGATGTATGTTGCGCATTATTCTTATATATCACAGATACATGCGTGAGGCTGCGGGAAAACGTGCAGTTTTTCATCGTTTAGAAATATTATCTGTCAAAAAAAGCCGGGCAAGTAATAGAGAGAATTAAGCTTGCTCCTGTTTTCCTTCCGGGCCTACACTGCCTTGATAATAAAATTGCTTGCGTCAGATGGGAAAATATGTTGTAGCTGGTTATAATTATTTTCATTTCGTGCTGTTATTTTAATAGCACAGAATAACTTAAAACAGTTGCAGTTTTTGGCAGAAAGAGTTGATATTGCGAAATATTCAAGTAGAGAGCAGCTGGACATTCTGGAACTGATGTTTGTTCAAACGCTTTCACTGACTGTTGGCCCTTCAAAAGGTGCTACTGCTGCTACTACAGTCTCCGGACGTTCCGATCTGATATCTTCGGAAACAACCTTAGCTAATGGTACTTGCTTGGCAATTTTAAAAGCCCTTTCTGCATACACATATGTATATATAAACGGAAGAAATATAAACATGTACAGAAAGATAGAAGGAATGTGGCGGGGTCAGGCTTATTTTCTACAGAAAGTGGTTTTCGCAAGTCCTCATGCGAATTCCACTGATCGCGAGTTGATATGGTTCCCAGACTAGATTTTAACAAAATCCCTTGAAATCATTCATGTTTATGCCTTCACCATGACTAGTTTCTGCGATAATAGTAAACAACACGAAACTTCCCATAACTGCCGTGCATTTAGGCTTCCCAGCTGTTACATCCGTATGCACGCCAGTTATGGCAACTTTCAAAGCAAAATCTTGAACGAGGAAAGAAGAATAGAGGGAGTTACATTGATAAGCATGGCACTGGCAAGAAGCAATGAGACAAACAAGCTGACATTATCTGGTTTCGAGAAAATGCATGACGAATGTGGACTTGGCTTGTGCTAAGCACAAAAAGCAAGGGCCTCAGTGACTGCATTTTGGTCATTGCATGCCGCATTTGCACGGGTTTCTCCGCAGTGTCTTTCTTCAGAAAAGAGGCAACCGTTGTATGTTGCAACTAGAAATAATAAATAGCAACACGCACCAGACTAGCCGATGCGATTGTGCGTTTTGTGCAGCTCAGCCCATCGAACGATTGCCTATTAATGATTTTCACTGCTTTTTACTTTAGTCTGTGCAAAAACA